GTGGAATATCATGGGGCTGCCAGCCGACGCCTTCTCGACCGAGAACGGCCTCTTTGCGACCATGGGCCGCCGCTGGCCGCTCATGATTGACCCGCAAGGCCTAGCCAACAAGTGGATCAAAAACATGTACAAGACGAGCAACCTCCAGATCATCAAGCTGTCCGAGAAAGACTTTTTGCGCACGTTGGAGAACGCGATTCGATACGGCATGCCCGTCTTGCTCGAGAACGTCGAGGAGGAGCTCGACCCGAGCTTGGAACCGGTCTTGCTCAAGCAAGTGTTCAAGCGGTCCGGTCAAAACTTGCTGCATTTGGGCGACGCCGACATTCCGTACTCGGATGCCTTTCGGCTGTACATCACGACCAAGCTCGCCAACCCGCATTACATGCCCGAGGTGTGCATCAAAGTGACGGTCATCAACTTTACCGTCACGCTCACGGGGCTCGAAGACCAGCTGCTTGTCGACGTTGTCCGCAACGAGCGCCCCGACTTGGAGCAAAAGAAGGACGAACTCACGGTCGCGATTGCAAGCGACAAGAAGGCGCTGAAAGAAATCGAAGACAAGATTTTGTACATGCTCGAGAATTCCAAAGGCAACATTCTGGACGACGAAGAGCTCATCGATACGCTTGCGCACTCGAAAGTGACGTCGAGTGCGATCAAGACGCGCATGTCGGAGGCGGAAGTCACGTCCAAAGAAATCAACACGACGCGCGAAGGCTACCGCTGCGTCGCGGTCCGCGGCTCGATCATCTACTTTGTGATTGCAAACCTCGCGCTCGTGGACCCGATGTACCAGTACTCGCTGCAGTACTACCAAAAACTGTTTGTGATGCGGCTCGAAGCAAGCACCAAGTCGGACGTGCTCTCGGAGCGGCTCGAGATTCTCATGAACGATGTGACCATGTCCATGTACGTGAACGTCTGCCGCGGCCTCTTTGAGAAGGACAAGGTGATCTTTGCCTTCATGATTGTGGCGTCGATTCTCCGCCAGCGCCACGCGATCTCGGCGGCCGAGTGGAACTTTTACCTCATTGGCGCCAAACGGTATGCTATATATAGATATATCAGATATCAGTTTTGTGGACTGAAAAGTGATATCTTAGGACACACCCGCTTGACGCACGTTTGAAACCGTCGTGGGTCCCCGAACGCGTGTGGATCGGTCTCGAGACGCTGCTCGAAGTCAATCCCGAGGCGTTTGGCCCGGTGATCCCGTCGCTCACGGACTTCACGACATCGTGGAAAGAGTCGATCTTGTACTCGGAGCTGCCGCACCAAGAGCCGATTCCCGGCAGTCTCAACGAATCGCTCACGAATTTTCAAAAGCTTTTGCTGCTCCGCGTCTTTCGCGAAGAAATGCTGGTCTTTGGCACGCGCGAGTTTGTCGGGCGCGAAGCCGGCGCGTTCTTCACCGAGTCGCCGCCGTTCGACTTGAAGGGCTGCTACACGGACTCGGCGCCAGACATTCCGCTCATCTTTGTGCTTAGCCCGGGTGCCGACATCACCGACTACCTCCTCGAGCTTGCAAAAGCCGAAGGCAAAGATGGGGCAGGGCTCAAGATCATTTCGCTTGGCCAAGGGCAAGGGCCGATCGCCGAGGCCTTGATGAAGCAAGCGCGCGAGACGGGCGAGTGGGTCTGCCTTCAAAACTGCCACCTCGCCGTGAGCTGGCTCGGCAAGCTCGAGCAGATCCTCGAGAAAAGCAAGGAGGTCGAGCTCCACAGCGAATTTCGCCTCTGGCTCACGAGCATGCCCAGGTACATTCTTGTCCATTTTATCAACCACGTATGGACATCCATAGCTCGAAATTCCCCGTCCCGATTCTACAAAATGGCATCAAGATCACGAACGAGCCGCCAAAAGGCATGCGCGCGAACCTCGGCCGCACGTTCCTCGACATGAAAGAGACCGATTACGAAGGCTGCACGAAGCCGCGCGAGTACAAAAAGTTCATTTTTGCCCTCGCCTTTTACAACGCGCTATGCCTGGAGCGCCGCAAGTTTGGCGCGGTCGGCTGGAACATCCCCTACGAATGGATGAACTCGGACCTGAAGACAGGCATGCAGCAAGTGAAACTCTACCTCGAGGAGCAAGACGAAGTGCCCTTCATTACGCTCAACGTCATGGTCGCCGACATCACGTACGGCGGCCGCATCACCGATCGCTGGGACAAGCGCACGAACTCGTCGCTCATGCGCAAGCTCTTTCACGACGAGCTCCTCGATGACAACTACAAGTTTGCCTCGTCGGCGACCTACTTTGCACCGGCGACGGGGTCGCTCGACGAGTGCCGACGGTATGTCTCGTCGCTGCCCAACGTCGACGCGCCCGACATCTTTGGTCTCCACGCCAACGCCGACATTACGTTCCAGCAAAAGGAGACGAGCATGCTTCTCTCGACCATGCTGTGCATGCTCGGAGGCGGTGGCGGCGGCGGCGGCGAAGCCAGCGTGAGCGACGACCTGGTCATGGAGCTCGTGCTTGCGATCCAAGGCCGCATTCCGGACGCGTTCGACGAAGCGTCGGCGCACGCTGAGACTTTTAAAGAGACCTCTGGCAGCCGCAACTCGCTCGGCGTCTTTCTCGGCCAAGAGCTCATTCGCTTCAACGGACTCATGCACGTCATGAAGAGCACGCTCGAGAGTCTCAAGCGCGCCATCAAGGGTCTCGTCGTCATGTCCGGGCCGCTCGAACGTATGTACAGCGGATTTCTTCTCCAAAAGATCCCGAAAGAGTGGGAGGACGCCGGGTATCCGTGCCTCAAGCCGCTCTCGTCGTGGACCGAGGATTTTTTCCGACGCCTCGACGTCCTCGGCGATTGGCTCGTGCACGGCCCGCCCGTGAGCTACTGGCTGCCCGGCTTCTTCTTTCCGCAAGGGTTCATGACCGGCGTCAAGCAAGTGTTTTCACGCGAGCACAAGATTGCGATCGACGCGCTCATCGTCACGTGCGAGGTGCTCGGGTATGACCCGGAAGGGGCGAAGGCGCCACCGCCCTTTGGCGTGTATATTTACGGCCTCTTCATGGAAGGCGCGTGCTTTGACCGCAACACGATGCAAATCGGCGAGTCCAAACCTGGCGAGCTCTTTGATAAGATGCCCATCATCTGGCTCAAGCCCACGCGGAGCGTCGAGTACAAGCCAAAGGACGCGTACGAGTGTCCGCTGTACAAGACGTCGACTCGCGCCGGCACGCTCTCAACCACGGGTCACTCGACCAACTTTGTCGTCGCCCTCGACATTCCGAGCGAGAAGAGCCAAGACCATTGGATCCGACGCGGCTGCGCGATGCTGTGCATGCTCGACACCTAATCCTTGTAGATAATACATATAGAGTGCGATGAATGCGAGGAACTATATACCGATTTGTCGCATTTTTCATGTGCCTCTAGACCACGTGTATCTATCAACCTACAACCAACGAACAGGACATTATTGACCGTCATTACAGCTGCTCACTCTTTAGGAGCATAGGTCGTCCCACTTGCAACACTGCGCAGGTGGCGATGGCCCAAGCAGAAGCTTGACCCCCTCGTAACTTCACCGGCGCATCCATTCAAACCTCAAGTCGATAGACTTTACAGGTATTCTCTTGACGCCAAGAAGACGCTCTCGTTAAAAGCTACGTACCTGCACATGCCCGTCAACGACGCCGACTCGTACCCGTCAACAACGACGGCTCGTACCTTTCCTACATGAGTCGGTGGATCACATCGAATCATATGAGAGCGTTGGCCTAGTAGAGTATCCTGCTCGTTCATCGGCTGCATCTGCTACGGTGAGCGAGCCTTAGCCAGGCCCCGCTGGTGTTCTCCATTTCTCCAGCCTGCAAGTTTGAACCCGCTCAACGTCTTTGACGCTTCGTACGTCCTGGCTACGAGTTTTCTAGTGCAGTATATTTCCGCAACGAATGCCTCCTGATATAAAAGACTAGGAAAGCCTTTTACAACGATCAAATGCACTTCTCGACCTCAAGATAAAAGTAGAAAAATGACCAGAAAATATTAGGTGGGGAGCGAGGGTTTTCGCTGCAGGACCATCATGTGCATCTCGTGGTGGGCGACGTCTCGTTCAGGTACCGAGAGGTCGTAATACTCACGCTTGGTCTTTGTTTCCCACGCCAGAATCCAGCTGTGGATGATATCCTGGCACCGCTCTCGCTCGCGCGGCCCGAGCTCATAGTACTTGATGTTTTCGACCTTCTCAAAGAGCTGAACCAGCTTCTGGTGCGGGTGTGTGCTCGGCTTGGTCTTGTGGAGCTTGCGGTTGTGCTGCTTGAAGAGCTCTTGGAGCTCCCGTTCGTCTTGCTCGAGCTGCCGCTGCGACGACGCGGTGGTCGTCATAGACGAGGCGCGGCGCGGCTCCTTGGCCTTGTCCACCGCGTCGTGCTGTCGAATGCGCTGTGGCCGCTTGGCGCTCGACGCGTCACTGACGGAGCGCGTGAGCGTATTGGTGCGTGGGCTGGACGGCGGCGACGTACTCGGCTTGCGCCGCTTGGCCTGCGACGTGCTATCGCTGATTGCGTACGCTGGCGCGGCCACCGACGCCATGGCGCTGGCGGGCGTCCATGCGCACTCGACCTCGTCGTGCTCGGGAATGCTCGAGTGCTCGACGGGTCGGCGCGCCATTTGGCTCGAGTGGCGCTTCGAGCTGCGGCCATCGAGGCTCGACGACGACGACGACGCGCTACTGCGCGCGTGCTTGACCTTGTCGTTGTGCTCCTTGAGCATCTGCTTGAGGACGTCTTCTTCCGAGAGCTTGCCGGGCTTGACCTTGGTCGGTGGCGGGTTGGCCGGGCTCGGCCGGCGCTTCGTCTCGGGTGACCGGTAGCCCGGGTGCTGCACCTGGAACCACTCCCAGTTGCGCATCTGCTCTTCGCTGTCCATCTCGTCGTCCGCGAGCGAGAGGTCCATCCACTCTTGCCGCGCATCGATGACCAGCGCTGGGACCTTGGCCGCCATGCTTTTATTAAATGCTAGAGGTTTCTCAAAATCAAATTTCACCGGTGTCGGGTAGGAAAACCGGAAGGCGTCGAAACCCGCGTCACCTTTCACATGTGTGTAAAATAGGGTGTAAAATAGAGTGTCAAATAGGTGTAAAATAGAAAGTTGGCATTTGCCTTTGGCATGAACGCCAGAAGGATCGAAGGGGACGCGGCATGGGTTATCGACGCTTGAGTTGTACGACTCTTGGTCGTTTGACGTGCTGTATATAGCCGACAGACTATAAAAAGGATGGACTTTGAGGTGTAGCGAAAATACATGGGCACGGTTTCACGCGCCCTTTGCTCGCAAAACGACAGCGCGAGTGCAACCTGGCGCTGCGATGGAGAGTCCAGCAGCGATGAGCCTCGACGCACTGCTTCAAGCAGCTCTTGCACCAAGTACCGAGCGGGAAGCGCTATGGCGACTTTTGCTGGACCGGCTCATCGAGGTCGACGGGTCGCAGCTACAGACAGTGGTGACGCACGTGAGTCGAGCGCTTCAGGACGCGACCTGCGCGCCCATTCACTGTCTCGTCTACCAAGTAGCCACCTATTACGCATGCATCTTGACCGATACAAACATGTGTGTAGGTCGTCAAAAAGCTCGGGTGCCGCGGTGAAGTCGAGCGCAAGCTGCTCATCAAGGAGGACATTCCAAAGCGCATGCTCGTGGCCATGGACGCTGCGATGGACGACGCCAACGCGCTGGCCCTCGGCCTCCAAGCACTCTACCCCCTTGCATTTGATGCGCCCCACCGCACGTACCTTCTCAATTGCGGCAGCTTGCCCGTCGCCCTTCGGGCGATGCAATTGCACAGCAGTCACTTTGCGACGACGACACACGGCAGCAAGTTTCTACAGCTCATGGCCTTTGACGACGACTGCAAAACGATGATCGTCGACGCCTCCGGGCTACCGATTGTGCTCGACGCGCTATTGGCGTTTGCGTCGCACAGGGACCTCGCCGTGAGTGCGTCCGACTTGGCGTACTTTCTCGTCGCCGACCTCGAGCCTGGCAGTGCTCCGATCCGCGGGCTCGAAGCGCGCATCATCGCTGCCTCGACGCGCATCATGGACCAGCATCGCAATGACGACCGTGTGCAGTCGCACGGTGTCGCGATCTTGAACAGGTGCGACGCGTTTTCTATCACAGGCCGATCCACCAAACAACTGGTAGCTTGACCGAGCACGCCGACGCCCGACCGCTCTTGTGTACCTCCGAGGTACTTCTTGCGATTGAAGACGCGCTCGGGGCCACGTACGACGCAACGGCCGACGCACTTGTCTTGCTCTACGAGCTGTGCCAAGATGCCACGTGTCTTGCCAAGATCGGTCGATGTTTACGCCGGTATGACGTGGCACGCTGCCGCGTCTCATGTGAAACGTCTTAGACGCGACGATGGACGGCCGTCGTTGCTCGAGAAGCTCGAAACGATCCACGTCGAGAACGACGACCATGATAGCCGCGAACGCATAACGTTTTGCAGCAGGCGCTCGTAGAGACAAGGGCGAGCGAGGCCGTGACGCTTGACGAGCTCGCAACGACGTCTGTGGAGGTCGTGCCACCACCGACGGCCCGCGTGGCACCGCTGCCCAAGGCCAGTCTTGTGCTCGAAACAGGCGCGAATGAGATCTCGGACGCGCTCCTTTCGCCGTCGACAAAATCGGTGGTCGATGCTGACGTGCGAGCCCCGACGCTGGCGGCGATCGCAGCAGGCGACGACGATGTTCACGGATGCGCGCCCAAAGACGAGCTGAACAGCAACTGTTTTCCAGCATCCGCTTCGTCTGCACCGGAGAAGCGGATGGAGCGCGCACCCAAAGAACTGGCGGACGAGCCGCCGGTCAAGATACTGTACAGCCGTAGCACGCCCTCCGCCGCGCCACCCGACGTCATCTCCAGCGTTAAAGCCACCAGTTTGGCTACGGCAGAGCCACCCAAGCCGATACCATTTCAAGCCACAACGCGAGACGACGACGCGTCGTGGGCGCAATCACCGACGTCGGTCCTTGCGATTGAGCAGCTCGAAGCGCAGTACCAGGAGGCGGCCGCCGAAGCGATCGAGCGGGAGCGTACCAAGACGCGAAAACTCCTCTTCAACTACAAGCTCCTGCAGCGTCGGCTGGCCGAGCAGCATAAGCTTCTGTGTGTCCACAACGAACGGTCGGTCGCCGACTCGGAGATCCACGAAGCACTCTTGGCGCGCGTGACCCACCTCGAGACGGCGCTAGGCGAAGCACAGCGAACGTGCGAAGCCGAGCGTAGCGCCCGATTATCCCACGAGACTGAAGCGATGAAGGCCCACGGCGCGCTTGCTGCCGCGCTGACGTCGCTCGAAGAGCAAAAGACACGCGTCTTCAAAGAAAAGAGGGTCGGCGAAAAGCAGTTTGTCGACGCCCAGCACGTCGCCCAGGCCTTATCCGCTGAGAAAGAAGTGCTTCTCGAGAGCCTCAAGACGTCGCACGAGTGCCAGCGGGGTCTCGAAGCGCAGCTCGTAGGGCTGTCTTTGCATCCTTTGATCTCTATGACCGCGTATTGATGTAGGAAGCGCTTGCGGCCGAGATGGCGCAGTCCAAGCGCGAATCGCTCGAGAATCTGTTCATGCGGGAAGAAGACGTCGAGGTTCTAATGCCGAGTACGTACTACGTGCAGGCGTCGCCAATGTCCAAGCGGTCGACCAAGTACGCGCTGCATGGCCTCGCGAGCCCGACGATCGACGTCGTCAACGAGCCGGAACTCAAAGACAAGAAGGCCATTGGTACGTCCTCGCGTTTGATTCGCTTCGACTCTATGTGTACGATGTCCTTAGAAACTTTCCTATTCCGCACGTACAAGTGCCTCGAAGCGTGCTCGGAAGGCCACGGCGTGCACTTTTCGATCCTTCGACGCTACTTTGTCGACACGGGCCTCGTGACGCCACCGCTCCTTCTTGGCGACGTGGACATGACGCTCAACAAGATCCTCTCGGTGGCCCAAGACAACAAGCTCAAAGTCAAGCAGCGAAAAGACTATGAGTTTGGCGCGTGCCCCGTGCGACCCAACTTTGGGAAGCTCCGGCACCGGTACTTTAGCCGGAGCCTCTTTTGCGAAGCCGTCACACTCGTGGGGGCAAAACGATACCCGGACGTCGAGACGCCCGAGATGCTCCGGCTCGTCATTCTGCATCACCTCAACCCGTTCTCCAAGAGCATTGAAGCCAAGGGCGATGTCCAGCTGCTCGTGAGCTGCTACGATGCGTTTGGGTTCCTTAAAGTGCTTTTGGATGCGCTTCACGGGCAATGGAAGACGGAGAAGACACCCGACTCGCGCCCCGAAAGCCTCAGCCACGCCCAAATCGTTGGCGCCATGCTCGAGATGGTTCCACTCCTCCAACGGGAGCAAAAGCCGCTCCGGGTGCGTCTCTCTTGGTCCCATACGTTCTGTCGTCGAGCGCACTCTGGAATGTAGATCATTTGCGAGTTCTACACGTCGGTCCACGACGTCTGCAAAGATGAAGCCCTCGACATGGGGTTAGAGAGCCTCGTACGTCGTTATTTTACGCTTTTTGGATGTTCTTACATAGCATTTTTAGGTGAGTTTTGCCGTGGATTTTGAAATCATTCCGGCCTTTCTCGACCGGTTGGCGGTCAAACGACTCTACAAGGAGGTCCTTACCTACGTCAAGACGTTCCTTGCGCATTACGCTGGGTTCCCGTGCCCGGTGGACAAGAAGAAATACGTGGCATTTTACATGCTTCTCATGCGCCTCGCCGTCGACATCTTCAAGGACAAGCGCGACTACGAGATGCCCGAGGCCCAAGTCACAGGGCTGCTTCAGTGGCTCGACAACTCGCGCGGCCGCGGCCGTATCATCCGCAAAGGCAGTGTGCACGCTGGTATCAAGTTTTCACACAAGCTCTACACCGTGAAAGGCTCGTAGGAATACGCTTGGACAAACTAATCGTCAATATATGTGCGTTGGTGGTCCTACTCCAAGGCGTGGAATTCCAGTTCCACCGGAAGGGCGTTATGCAATCGATGGAATCGTTTCCAACAACTAATCAACGGGTGTCGAGGGTCGTCCGACCTGTGGGTGGCTCATCTGCACGCGACTTGGGCGCGAGCCATCATCGTGTCCGCGTGTGCAGCTTGTTTCTTTTTTGCGATCGACGTTCTGAGCGAGCTACTACGTACTGCGACCGTCGGGCCTCCAGCTGCGTCGTGGGAGCCGATCGTCACAGCCACCTCATCATAGGCTCGCCATCTGCTGGTCGGATTCGGCGTCATGTTGGCTGTGCACTTGGGCGCTGGGATGGCTTCGTGGAGAGACTCGTCGAACAAGGCCCTACGACCGACACACAGCTAGAGCCAACGACTACAGGTTCCCCATACAGAATTCAACGACTTCCACTGTAATCGAAGACACATGACGATGTTGTGAAGATGGCGTCCTCGGCTCGGATTCGATTTTGGAAGCCCGCGGCTATATTTAGATCCATACAAACACCAAGTGGTTTCGGGCATATTGATACGCTAATTTACACTTTTCCGAGCGATTTGAGGTATATAGTGTTATGGAATGGGGGCGGGTACAGCTGTACTGGCTTTGTACGCAAGAGGTCGGGCTCGTAGCATCCCTGATGCGAGAACTGCATATCCCGATATACTGCAATGAATCACTCGAAAGAGAAAGGGCTTATGGGGCTTCAGTTTGGCTCAAGTAATACGCAAAGCGATGCCGTGTGTCGCCGATGCAACACTATTTGCGTTCACATTGCACCCAAAATACCACCAAACTTCGACGCCCGCATTTCGTAGTGCAGAGGCCACAACGTATTTTAAACGTTTTGTTTTTGTTTATTCGGTGTTTGTATGGAAATGCGTTACTTTCTTGCAGCGCGCAAGATATGCTGGATAGAATGTGGCAACTTCGATCTTAATTCGACTTTGCCCATCGCCGAGTCAGTAGCATGGCCGCCGACGACTCTGCCCGCGCCACGAGCCTCAAGCGCCTCATCCAGCGCCGGCATTGGCAGCGCTGGCGCATCTACGAGATCGGGACGCAGTCGGCGAGCGAAGAGCACCTCGAAGAGCTCCTCGCGGCGCCGGCGCCCAAGCTCGAAGCCATCCGCCACTGGCTGCAGACCAAACTCATTACCATTCCGGAGCGGCGCCATTTTCTCTTCCGGACCGTGTGTGGCAAGTGCTTCTGCACGTGTACGACCGCCAGAGTTCCAGCGCCGACGAACTCGCGCGCATCTCGGACCGCCTCGCGTCCTTGCCGCGGGACCCGCTGATGCGCAAGGAAGTGTCGGATGCGATTGCGCTCATGGCTGGCACGAAAGGCGAGGCCGCGCAGCCCGGCATGGAGACCGTGCTCCTGTGGCTGCTCACGGCCAAGGCGGTGCCGTACACGAGCGGCATGGCGCAGGCGCTCGCGCCCTTCTTCCTCCTCGAGCTCCCTCTGCATACGATCTACGACTGCTTTTACCGCTACTGTGCGCTCCAGCTGCCGCACTTGGTCTCGGGGACGCTCTCCTGCCGGACGATCCTCTGCACGAACAGACGCACCCGATCGAGCTCGAACAGCGCGAACACATGCTCGACAACCTCCTCTTGTACCACGACCCGGCGCTCGCCGCGTTCCTCTTTCAGTGGGTGCCCGACTGGACGCACCGCAGCGTCCCACTCGACTTCTTCTACTCAAATCTGTACCGCACCGTGCCACCGGCCTCGTTCCTGTACATCCTCGACGCGTACCTCGTCCATGGCGACATGGAGTTTGGACTCTTTGTCGTCCTCGCGATCGTCATGCTGGCCCGCGATACCCTCCTCGCACAGAATGACGCCGACAACATTCGCAGTCTTCTCAAGCCGCTCTACGCACTCGACGACGTGGGCGCGGCCAAGGCCACCGTGGTGCTGGCCACGCTTCTGAAGCGGCGGACGCCGTCGTCGTACACGACGATGTGGCACGCCCGGCCGCACCCGACGTTCACGGCAGCGTCCGCGACCGCGCCGCCCGTCGACATGAGCGTCTGGGAAAAGCAAGAGAGCAAGACGCTCACCGGTCGCTTTTACTGGGTGCACAAGAAGACGAAGCGGGCGCAGTGGGAACACCCGAGCGCAGCTCACGACCCGCCGCCGCCACTCATGTGCCTCTCGATCTCGACCAACGAGGTCGCGGCCGCGGCGTGCATCCCGGGTGCGAAGACCGATCTGTCGCTGCGGTACTTTATCGTCGACTGCCGCGGCCGCCGGTCGTCCGAGGACATGAAGAGCGGCGGCATTCCGTCCGGGTACACGCTCGACCCAGCCGTGTTTGACTCGCCCGAGATGATGGAATCGGCGCTCGCAACGCTGCTGCCGCTCCGATCGAACGTCCATCTCGTGCTGGTCGGCCACGGCGTCACGCTGCCCATGGCGCTCATTACGGACGACGAGACGGCGTCGCTGGTCCGCGAAGGCATCCGCGAAGACGTGGCCATCGTCAACCGCGCGGCGCTGTGGTTCCAAAAGCACGGCTTCCGCTTTGTAAGTTGCCTCGACGGCGGGTACGCGGCTTGGCACGCCTTTTTGCGCGACACGCCGCAGTGCACGATGGAGGAGCTCGTGGGCCACGTCGTCAGCGAGTGCCGGTACTGCAAAGTGGACGCGCGGGCGGCGGCCGTGCGAGAGAAGAAGCAACCGGCGCGCCGCCGGTCGTCCATCAAAATGCCGACGCTGCCAGCGTCCATGACGCGACTGTCGTTGACGTCGTCGTCGTCGGGCGGCAGCTCGCGCCTATCGTTCAGCTCCAAGGACGTGAAAGGCAAACTCGGCTCGTTTGGCGCCAAATTTCTGCGCAAACGCTCCAACTCAGCGTCCCGCCTCTCGTCCGACTCGCTCGACTTGGACGACTTTCTGGCCGACGACACGGCCACGGTGCACGACAGCGCAAGCGACGACGACGAGGAGATTGAAATTGCGCTCCCGACGCTCTCGGCGTGAATCCCACGCCCCAGAAATAGCCCTTTCCATGCGTATAATCAACACTAGCTAAGTTAACAATGCAAGAAGAAGAAGCATCGTCCTTGCAGTCAAGTGGCGTCGCCAGTACCATAGCCAAGGGTACAAGATTTGTGTACCCTTGGCAGTTGCCGTCCTGTCCTGGTCCGTGCTGCTCTAAAAACACCCAATTCCTCCACGTTATCACGCCAAGTTGCCAAGTTGGCACACGCCGTTGAGACGGACGTACAAAGTAGCGTGTCAATACCGGTGTCACGCTCACACTGCGCTCGTCGCGGGCAAAGGACACACGGCTAAGCGTCGTTGATCCCGTAAAGCGCGTGGCGGTGCAACAACGGCCCAAGTCGAACCGCCAAATTCCCGCGACCCTCCGCATGTCACGTAGAAGAAGCGCGATGCGCACGGCATAGTGGATGGCGTCGCCAAGGGGTCGCCGCAATGCTCTAAAAAGAACGCGGTCGGACCACCGCCTTGCCGTGCACGCGAGCTGGCCGAGGTGCAGGGATGGGCCGGCGTCATTGACAAAAGTGGCGTGTGATTAGCCTGCCGCCGGTGGCGGAAAGCGACGTCGCCCGTCCTCGTATTTAATGTATTTATACTCGAGGTTTGTAAAAATAAAAAAATGATGCTTTAAAATGCAGGACGAAGACCACATGGATCGTTCGTTCTCGGACCAATCAGAACTGCTTTCCGGGGGCGACGTGACAAGCGACTTCCTATCCCACGGTCGCCAGCGCAGCCCTTCGTGCCATCATCCTACTACCGACGACGACGACGACGACGATCAACATGGCCGACTTGAGCAACCAGCCTGCGTCGCCGGCCAAGGCCCGCGTCGAGGCCATGAGCCCGGTCGAGGCCAAGCTCAGCGTATGCACGATCGACACCAAGCCCGAGGACGACGAGTTCGACTCGGACCTGGGCACGCCCACGTCGCCCAAGGACGCCTTTGGCGACGACGAGCGCGAGACGTGCGGCATGTTTGCCAACCACGTCTTCTACGGCCCGTCGGGTCACAAAGATACAGAACACGTCCTCCACGACACGCGCCGCGTCGAACTCAACCACCCCAAGCTCAAGCTGCCGTACTTTAAAAGCGAGCCGCAGGACGCGGGGCGCATGTCGGTCATCTACGGTGGACCACAGTCCGTCACGGAGCTGCCGCCGGCGCGGCGGTCGGTCATGACCATGGCGCGCTCCAATTTGCCTAAGATCTCGAAGAGTTTGCCGGGCCTCCCGAGCTTTCTTAGCCGCACGAAGAAGGCGCCGGTCGACGCGGACCACGCGATGGCCTTTTGCGACGGCTGCGGCGAGCACCCGATCAAGGGCACGGTGTGGTCGTGCTCGGTTTGCGTCAACTACAACCTCTGCGGGCTTTGCTACTCGCAAGGCATCCACGGGCTTGAGAACACGCCTGCGATGACCATGTACCAGGAGCTCACGATCCACGACAAGCTGAAGAAGCGCTGCAAGGCGATGACGTCCGAGTTTCTCGGTGTGCTCTTCCGGGACATTTGCAAGATGCAACCGGGCAAGTTTGAGCACCTCGGCAACTGGCTCGCAGGCATCATCGACAAGAAGACGGACGCATCCAAGATCATTGCGCGTGGCGTCGAGATTCCCGGCTTGAGCGTCGAGATTCGCCAGAATTTTGTGGGGCTGCTCATGCCGCTCGTCTCGAACCGGACCGACATCCAAGTGTACGTCGAGTGGGTCCCGGACGAGGCAGGCCCGAATCTCGAGAAGCTTCGGATCTGGATGTCGGACCAGAAGACGCGGACCAAGACGCCCTTCTCGCAAGCGGTGGCCCAGTCGATCGGTGCGCAATAACCACCTATCTCCTCGTGTGGACGCCCTAAAGGGTGCTTGGCCCTACTACATGCGCGCCAACAGCCTATCTAATAAGAACCTTGTATTGCCCTCCGCTCCGCATTTCCTCCACATTGCACTCGGCCCAAGAGCAAAGTGGCGAATAGACGACCAGTCACTACCCAGGCTCGATAGGATGGGTGTTGCAGATCGCCGCGCCAGCCCAAGGCGTCACAGCACCGCAGTTTTTGATACTATCCGAGGTCGTACCACGGCAGCTCCTCCGCCTTCGATCAGGCCACTTGAAAATTCCATGCCGCCTTTCTCTGGTCAGCCACTGGATCTTATACGCTGGATATGCCAGCGGTGACGACGGTACGGTTTCATGCGCGTTGGGTCGACGGGCCGAGACCGGTCGCCAGCACCGCCGGTGCGCCACGCCCGGCCAACAAGCAGTATCGTATCGAAAGGCTCTCATCGAGAGACGCTCACTTTAGAGTGTAGAGATGCGGGCGGCCACCGAGCCAGCGCCAGGTCGGCACGTCGTCTTGACCGCCATTGACATCGCGCCTTGTAGGGGCCAAGGTCCTGGACAGCGCGGCGCAGGTCAAGGCGATACTCAGCGAAGTCGTTCGCATCGGCCTCCATCGCGCCGAAGACATTGCGACATTGAGCGTACGTGTTGCGTCATGCACTTGCTGCGACGAGGATCGCATTAGGATCGCGTCCATGCTGCCACGCGCACGACCATGCTGCAATGCAAGTACCGCGAGGAGTGGCGCTGCAGTACGACCGCACGCGGCATGGGCGAAGGCGGTAATGGCGCTGCTCTAGACCGCGAAGATACCTTGCTTCACCAACTGTGTGCCTCGCCGCAGCTTCTCGCTGGCGCGCGCGACGAAGACGAGCGCAGCGTCCTCGCGTACTTTCGGTGAGCTTGCCGGACTCCGCATCGGCGCATGTGCATACTGCAGCGTAGTCGCATCTTGCACGGCATGGTCGAGACGCTAGCGAGGCAAGACGCTGCAATGGACGGGAACAAGGTAGTCGACCGTGCGCAAGAGAGGAGGGTCATGATTAAACAGACACCGTCCAAGGCGCAGCAGCTCCAGCGGGCCTTGCACCTGGACCGCATCATTACACAGATCGAAGCCCACGATCCGATTGAGATTTGTCGCGGTACTTGGACTCGGATGCATTCGTTGTTGATGCTCGAGCTACAGATATGATGACGCTCTCTCGCCAGCAGCTTTCAGACCTTCTCGTCGAGACGCCAGAGAAGAGCGAAGACAACACCGTAGCTTTAGCAGTCGTCCAGCCACTGAGTTTAATGGTCAACAATGTCGTCCGCGCCCAAGCAGCCTACCGCCCGTCGCGCCAGCCGAGCAGCTCGTTTGAGCGGCTCGTCACCGCCCAACGCTACGCCAAGGAAGTCCACACCAACGGTGCGTGCTCGAGCGCAGATTTCGTCAACACTTACTGCCACACGCAGAGACTCTCGCAAAGGCCCACCGTCGGATCGTGGCCATTCGACGCATTCAGCGCTGGTATCGCCGCTCCTGCGCCCGGTATCGCGCACACCTTGGCGACGTGAAGCGAAGAGCCGCGGCTGCTGCCCTTCTGCGCGTACGGCTACCGTCATCGCTAGCACGTTCATGCTTGCTGTCTAGAAACAACTGCGTCCGCTTTGGCGACGACGCATTGCGTGGCAACGCAACTGGGATCGACTGCGGCGACAGCACACGGTGAGGACCTCATCACGTCACTTTGGACCTACCGCGTACGATCGATAGGCACGGCGCCTCGCGCGCTGGGTGTGGCTCTGCCGTTGTATCTTGCGTAGCCGTCTGCGAACGGTATTCCCAATGCAATGGACCCCAGCGTCTTTACTCTGCGTAGGCTTTGCTGCAGTTGACAACCCCTACAGCACATGACGCCGCACGCGTGTACGCTTGCACTATGCCCAGTGTCGTGGAGAAATGCTGTCGCGATAGAATCCAGTCCCATCTGCGGCGCGTTCTGGCGAGACGGCGCGTTTGGTACCTCGGCTGCATGGCTGTGCACCGCAAGAACCGGCGCGAGCGTCGTGTATGGGCAGCGCGGCAGCAGCAGCACCAGGTGCATCATATCGTGGGTTCTTATGCGCTGGGTTTTGAAGCCGTTGGCGCCAGGCCATGGCCCCACTAGTCGCTGAGATGCTCGAGTGGCACTGCATGGTCTCGGTTGAAGTGGCTGTGACGACGCAGTCCATGACAACGGAAAGCGCGGACTTTAAGCGGCAATGGAAGGTCCGTGAGGTTCGGGCCAATTTCGTTATGCAAACACACGTGCTAGCACTATGCATCGACGCTCACAAAAGCGTGTTTGAAGGCCAAGCTCAGCGACGAGTGGGTGCCTCAAATGGACGTGCGCACGGGCACGTGCTACTACTTCAACCTCAAGACCGCGACCACCCAGTCGACCCATCCCAATATCCTTTTTGATTGGATTGTTTGGGTTCGTAGGTTTTGAATATCCTCCCCACTATTCGTGCCTTGACAATACTTTGGCCAACATGCGCAGCTGGCGGACCGCCTCCTTGCCAAGCAGCGCCGGCGCGCCCACGACGTGTACAAGGCGCGCATGGCCACGCTATCGTCGCACCTCGAGAGCCTCGTGGCGCTGCAAGCAGCCCATACGGCCGACGTCGACACGCGCTTTCGCCAATCGCAGACACCACAACAGCGTCCTATGGAAAGACTGTAGTACTATCTATAAACAACCAGCCCAACAAGATCATAAATACTGGTTTTGGGTTTAAGCCCACAACGCGGGGTGAAGCGGTTGCGAGGTCGACGAGGACGACGCTCACATTGTCGCTTGAGAGACACCGCACGGCTTCTTGCGTGAGCTCTTCGGCTGCCACCTGCAGCTGGCCATGCAGCGCCAAGCGGCTCGCGACAAACGCGACAGCGGCTTCGCAGTTCATGGCTTCCCAGAGCCCGTCGCAGGCAAGGAGCAAGAAGGCATCCGAGGCCTCGATATCGAGGACGAGCACGTCCGGGGTCGCGCTCAGCACGGTGTTGACGGCCTCTTGCGAGTAGACGCGTGCGGCGCGCTCGGACGCCTTGCGCGTCCGACCTTTGAACTCGAGGTCGCCAAACGTGCGCGTGATGGCAAGCACGCCGTTGATGCGGTTGTTGATAATGGCGTGGGCACCGATGATGCCAACGACGAGATCGACCTCGTCCTTGGTCGTGCACCGGTGGTCTTTCGTGAGCACGCAAGCAGCACCATCGCGGCACACGACGGCGCGGCAGTCGCCAACGTGGCCGAGCACGAGGCGGCGACGCGACGGCGGCGCACACTCGAGAAACACAAACGTCGCTGTCGAGCCGCTCGGACAGTCGCTCGCGTACAAGTGATCGCAGAGGTCGCTGTCCAGCGCGATGCAGGCGTCTTGCACGGTATCCACGATGGCATGAGACGTGGCGTCTCTCGATAAGCGCGTGAGCGTTCGCAGCAGGCGGCGGTGCAGATGTTCTTGGAGGTAGCTGGCGGCCGTCACGCCGCTATGGCCGTCGTAAATGCCCACAAAGGCCATTGTATCGCGGCCACAGTCGTACGAAGCGAGGTTCGGGATCACCATGCACCGGTCTTCTTGGGTCGTGCGCCGCCCTTGGACGCTCGCCAACGCCAGACGAATGTGGAGCTGTGCATTGCAAGGCTCGCGCAGCATTAAGTTGGCCGACGAGGCGGTGAGCGCATCCATGTTGTCGAGCATTGGTGGCAAGACCGCTTGTGCTGTCGGGGCCAACGTTGTCAAGAGAAGCTCATCGAGATGATGCATCGATGGCGCGATCGCATGTTCGTCGTCGTCGTCGTCTCCGTCGCTCGAGTTGGCAGCGTCGTCGGATGGATGAAGGAGAAGGTCGTCGAACGAGCTCTCGTTGCGTGCAATCAGCCGTGGATGACTCTTCTTTTGAGCAAACATTTCACTGCGGTAGTGCATCTCTTCGCTCGAGAGGTGCTGGTTGCGATTTTGGAGCAGCAACCGGCGCTTACTCGACCCAGTATTGCGGTGCAGCGCCTGCAATTGGTGGCTCCGGGCGTTGGCTTTCGCCTCCAGCGCAGAAGTCGGTGGCGTCGTTGGTGGCGCGCTAATGGCCGTGCCCATGGACTGGGCGGTACTAGAGGGCTTGGCTGGTGCCGTGCGGTCGGTCGCGGCCGCGAGCGAACGGAAGCCCCGCGCTCGGCGTCGTGGCGGGCAGCAGGGACGACGTGGCGTGAATGGCGCTGTCGATTTCGTCTGCGGATACGGTGATGCGGACGTTCAAGAGCGGTCGTCGGCGCAGCGATCGGTCTTTCGTGATCCACGGATGACTCAGTGCGTCCGCCAGCGCAAGGCGACGACTCGGATCCTTGGTCATGATCTTGTGTAAAAAGTCGGCGAGCGCCGGGTCCACGGCGCCCGGGAGCACAACTGGGTCGTTCTGGATCTTCTCAAAGACTTGGAGCGTCGTTTTCGCCACGAACGGCGGGTTGCCAAACTTGAGCATGTACAAGGTCGCGCCGACGGCCCAGACATCGGCGAGTTGGCCCGAGTCTACGCACACGCAACAGATCAATTTGTTTTTGTCGGCGACGTACACTGAACGCCCGAGCACATTTCAGGCGACATGAATGCCGGTGTGCCCTTGGACTCGAGGAGCTGCTGCTTGCTGCCGTATAAATTTTGAGAAATCCCAAAATCGGCAATCTTGACGATCCCTTGCTCGCCAATGAGGAGGTTTTGAGGCTTGAGATCGCCGTGAACGATGTTCTGGTCGTGGAGGTACGCGAGGCCGTGGAGCACTTGGAGGGCGACGCCGTGCAGCTCCGGGTCGAGCATCGGTGCGCAAATCGTGTCACTTGTCGAGGCCGGTTTGGTTTTTTTTGTAAAACTCAACAAGTCGCCGAGCTGCATAAACTCGAGGACGAGGAAGAGCTTGTTGACGTGCGGGTCGTCCATGACCTCGAAGAGCCGCAGCACGTTCGGATGATTCAGCTTCTTCATGATGGCAATCTCGCGCTTGATGTCGTTGAGCGCGTCGGGTTGCCGATTGAGCTTGCCGTGTTTGTGCATAATGTCACGGTCAATAAACTTCATTGCAAACAGCTGTCCAGACGCCTTTTCCTTGCAGAGCTTGACCTCGGCGTAGCTTCCGACACCGAGGCTCTCCAAGATGATGTAGTTGTTGATCATCGTGCGCGAGTTGAGCCAGTCGCCCGAGATGGGCGTCGGGTGCGGCAAATTGTGGGTGGGCAGCTGGGCTTTCTTCTTTTTGACGACGGTTGTGTCACGGATACCAGCGCCTACGTGTGCTCTTGATAAAGCATTTCTTTCTTTACGATGGACTACCCGCCACGAGAGGCAGAGGCTCGTTGGGGCCTCCAGCCTTCATCTCGACACTCTCCGTGCGAGCTTTGGACTGCACCGGGATGTCGGGCGTCTCCTGGATGCTTGCATGTTGCTTGTCTTGGATAGGGAGATCGGGGCGTGGCCCGCTTTGGAGCCAATCGTTAATTCCCTCGTCGTCATCGTCGTTGTCCGAGTCGTCACTGCCGACGATGGTTGCTGCGCCAAGAAACGAGTGGCTCGAGGCAAGCCAGTCGTGGGCTTCTGCTGGCTCGACATCGGCAAAACTACTGCCGTTGTCGCTCTCGGACCCGCTTGTGTCGACGACTTGAATCATATCGTCGTCAAAACCAGAGTCGGCGGCCGCCAGAAATGGCGTCGGAGTCGTGTTGACTGTGGCGGGGGGGCGGCCCGGCGGTGGCACACGCCCGCCCCGTCCTCGAAAGCTCCCGCGTCCCCGAAATGACGCCTTCCGGATGTCGCAATTGGTACTGGGCTGGATCGTTTTGGGTGTCGGTGGTCGAGAGAAAGCGTACTCGAGCGCGGGCTGGTTTGTGAGGGCTGCGTTAGGAAGTTTTAGCTGCGGCAAAGGACTCTTGCTGCTTGGTAGACTCTGTGCTGGGAGCT